CTAACCATGTAATAAATGACCCTAAACCTAACCTCAGTTGTATAACCATGTAATAAATGACCCTAAACCTAACCTCAATTGTATAACCATGTAATAAATGACCCTAAACTTAACCTCACTTGTCTAACCATGTAATAAATGACCCTAAACCTAACCTCAATTGTATAACCATGTAATAAATGACCCTAAACTTAACCTCACTTGTCTAACCATGTAATAAATGGCCCTAAACCTAACCTCACTTGTATAACCATGTAATATATGACCCTGAACCTAACCTCACTTGTCTAACCATGTAATAAATTACCCTAAACTTAACCTCACTTGTATAACCATGTAATAAATTACCCTAAACGTAACCTCACTTGTNTAACCTCACTTGTCTAACCATGTAATAAATGACCCTGAACTTAACCTCACTTGTATAACCATGTAATATATGACCCTAAACCTAACCTCACTTGTATAACCATGTAATAAATGACTCTAAACTTAACCTCACTTCTATAACCATGTAATAAATGACCCTAAACCTAACCTACACCCAAATCACACCCTAGTTCTAACCCTAATCCCTGACCCACCAACAGTATTTCTTCCATTGGGGACCGGGCTTTTGTCCGCACAAACCCCAGATCAGAACTGGGGATCAAACTCAGGACCTTCTTGCTGTGAGTCAGCAGTGCTAAGCACTGAGCCACTGTGCGGCCCAAGATCAGATTGTGCATGAACTCCAGTGCCGGCGACTGTGGCAGAGTTGTTAGGGAAGTTGTCCTGGAACTAGTAGGTTGCCAGTTCGCTCGTTCCAGCTGTCTCAGTTGTTGTGTCCTTGGGCAAGACACTTCACCCCTTAATGCCTCTGATGTGTGTCCCATCAGTGTATGAATGATTGGCACTGATTCGTCTCCATAGATGATTGTACATGTTAGCTTTGTAGGACGTCTAATAGTGTGCTGTGTGAATGAGGACACAGATTGTGAAGAGCTTCGACTGTCCTGGTTGAATAGAAAGGAACTATACAAGTACAGTCCATTTACCATTTCTTTTTTGATGTCCTACATTCCTACATGCTCTGAGATGTAAAATAAATTTGAAGCTGGGTTTTTTGAAAAGCAGGGCTGACACAGCTCATCAAGTCCATTCAGAACTCATGAAAGAACAGGACAGATTTTTTTTATCACGTCATGAATTTGAGTCAATGGATCAAAGGATTCTTCAGGATTTAGTTTCAGCTTGTTGTCTCATGACCCAGTGTCCAGAGGCACCTGACCGACCTGGTTCTGAATCAGCTCAAGTACAAAGAACTGCAGGTGACATCCTGACAGAGGGTGGGGATGTTTGAGGTAGAGGTCAGGACAGAATCAAGATCCTGTAATTGGTCCATGCTGCAGAACCTTTGCAGAACCACCTGGATGGTTTTCACATGAGTTGATACCTGATACTGGTGCAGTCTGGTTGGTGTTGGGTGACTTGTCTCCATGTATCTGATGAATGATTAATGAAAGCTTCCCTCTCCTCCTTCCTGCTCTGACCATCATCTTTACCTGCTGCTGATTGACACTTTATATGATCCACTGAATGTGTTCTGTTCTGACAGTTTGGCAGTTTGGACCCAACTGGTGCCGCTCTGAGTCATGAGGAGAAGTTCTGTGAAATCATTGAAGAGTATGAGCAGCAGTGCAGGGTAAGGTCTGTTTTTATTCTGCTGCTTTTCGGCACGTTGACATTAAGACTGTAGACTTTACTGCATGTGATTAAGATCTACAGACTCACAGAGACCTGGACTACTGATCCAGAACCCCTGATCCAGTCCTTACCTCTTTGTGTTTGTGTTTCAGTGATCCAGACTTTCCTGTAACTTTAAAAGTGGTCTGGATTAACAGTTCAGTGTTTTTGTTTGACTGCTCTTCCCCTCAGTTTTATCCCTCGTTCCTGAACATTTTCAGATGACCTTTGACCTCTGCCCTGTGACGTGTTCAGACATGAAAAGGCCCTCAGTTCAGAAGATGAATCATTGATGTCTTTGTTTTGATAATGTTTCAGGTGGACTAACAGTTCATATTCACACTTTAGTTTGCACACAGAAACATGACATATGTTGTTGTTATGACTTATGTCACACATTTTATATAGAAATATGAAATGCATTTCAAGACATATCTTTAAAGAAAGTGGTAAAAATTTTTAAATTAAAGTACTAAAATAATATATTTATATATTTAGCACTGTATATAATTTA